AAAGCTGCACTGGATTCACTCACAGTCGCGCAGTGAGTGGAGGCTGGAGATGCGCTCAGTGGTAGAGTGCTTGTCTAAGGTTTGTGAGAGCCTAGATCTGAGCCCGAAATACAGGACCAAAACCTACAAATGATATTCCTTCCCAAAGTAAAGCAAAATAAACCAACAAAAGACAGTAAATGATGCTTCTTACAGTTGTGCCAAATCTTGGCTCTAGGAGCATAGAAAAGTCTCTTTTCTTCCAAAGGGAAGAGGAAGTTTACCATGTAGTAGCTATTATTGATCAGCCATAGAGTGTAGGCCCTGTAGTTTACCATTTTTTATCACTTTCTATTCAAGGGTAATTTCTCCCTATGGATTATAAAGCATTGTTAGATCACAATAAAGTCATAATGCAGAAAAAATAGGGACATAAAATTCATTTTTTTCCTGGTTTGCTCTGAGTGATGTACTAAAGCTTTCCAAAGAAACTTATAACTCCCCCCACTAACAATAAGGTATTTCTATTGTTTTTAGAAGACAGTATTTCTAATGTGCCTCTTTGGCTCTTTAAATTTTTATCGTGATGCTATATTACTTTAAAAAAAAAAAAAACCCGATTACATAAGCCTAGGACTACCTTCTAGTCTTTATTAATGTTTTCTATTTCTGATCTAGAAGATGGTGTTTTGAAAGGTTAAGCAAGTGCTAGTTTTTGAAAAATACTGAATGCTGAGTCCGCCTTTTCTCTGTTAGTATGGCAGTCCTGATGACAGGAGAGGAGCAAGTAACAAGAACATTGATTGCTTATGCATTCAGCAAATAGTTACTGAACACCTGCTCCACGCTAAACGCCAGGAGAGTGCCTGGACTGTCGACACAGAGAAATAGGGTCCTGCCCTTCAGTGCCCTTTCATTGGTGAGCAGAATTAAAGTAACCCAGACCAGAGCTTACAGGTGAATGGTCCCAAATCAAGGAAGTGCTAGAGCATTTTGCATGAGGTGGTTTGGTTAGTCTACTTTTTTGGCAGTCCAGGGAATTGAACTCAGGGCCTCATGCTTGCCAAGCGAGTACTATGCCACTAAGCCACATTCTTAACTTGCCTAATATGCTTTCTGATTAATATCATGTATCTTGTTTAGACGTGAAAGCCTGTGCAATTCTGTGGCAATAAAAAGCAGATAAGATAGTCAGCTTTCTATTGCTATAACGAAAATACCTCAGATAATCAACTTATATGGAGGAAAGGTTTATTTCAGTTGATAGATTCAGAGCTTTCAACCCATGATTGCTTGGCCGTGTTGCCTTGAACCTGTGGCAAGATGGTGCATCATAGAAGGGACACGGTAGCAGGAGCTGCTTACCTTGGAGCAGCCAGGAAGCAAAAGAGAAGAACTAGCCAGGATTCCACTGTGCTTTCCCAAGGGTTTCCCTGAGACCTGATTACAAGGGTGCACCTCCCAGAGATTCCACCACCTCTCAGTAGTACCGCAGGCTAGCAGCAAAACCACAGGGACACTTCCAAAACATGCCACTTGGTTCTTGTTAAATGGTTGAAATTCAAATAGTTATGTAGCAGCTTTTCTTAAGGATAAGTGAAGCACATTCTAGATCAGAGTCTATGGAAAAGCCTCTTATTACAGGACCAGAAAAAATGATGGCACAAATGTGCTCAGAATCTAAAGGTTCAAGGAATTTAATTCCCAAGAATGCTGACTCTGGGAAGTTCTAGGAGTGTTTTTAATTCATCTATTTCCTAACAGATCTTGCTGTAAAAATGAGCTTGGATCTCTTGTGTTAGAGAAAGAAATGTAGCTATGAAAGCCTCATCCCTCTTTCATCATCCCCTTAATAATGGAAGATGAGAAATAATGGCCTTCCTTCCAAGTCCTAATTACAAATTTTTAAATGAGCCATTTAGAATTTCTCTTTAAAGGATGCAGATTAGTATTCAGTTGGTTCACAGCACGGTATAGACCCACGAGGTCATACTAAATGCTATGTGTAATGAAAGGCTTATGAAAATGACAAAGTAGAATATCATGCCATAAATCACATTTTCCCTTTTTAAAAGATAGCAAATTAAATATGCAAGTATTGCCAGCTAAGATTCATAAAAGATGCTATCTTAAAATATTTATATAGAAGGTAAGTCATTTTATCTATTAATTGTAGTTAAGGTTTAATTTTTAGAATATAAGATCTGCCTGTAGAGGAGACAAATGTGTTCTGCTTTTCCTCGTGACTTATGCATTATTGCCGTATTTATGCTTAAGGGGTGTCCAAATAAAATAAAGATGCATTTATCATTCCTACAGTATTAGTCTGTGCTTCCCGTCATGCCTGTCCACACAGCAGCATCTGGCACTGGCACACTGGCCATGTCAGCCTCCTTCTTTACATACGGTGTGCGCTCCGGTTCTGCATGTGACTCACACAAATTGCCTTACTTACATCACTGTGCATACTTTGACTGCCTTAACGGTTTTTTTATTCCCTATTTTTCCCGGTAAGCACATGTTAAGATCATCTTAGATTTCTATTAAGCTAATATATTGACTTGTATCTTTTGACAGTCACCACCGTTTCCTGTCGTCTTTTATTGCCTCTTCTAAAATAATATAAAATAACTGAGTAGCAGAGAAAAGTAAGAAATCACTCCAGATTTTGCTAACAGGGGTTAGTTTAAACTTTAAAATAAGTAGTTCATTAATATGAATATTTCAACACCTACAGTTTTTAGTCAATTAATAAGTATCCAAATACTTGATTTGTTTCAACCTGTAAAGAAAATGAGAGCTAAATGGAGCACTATTTCATTTTCTATCATGTTGTAAGTGTGCAGTGTTATATGATACATTTTAATACCCACAAGAGTAATTATTTGTGAACATGTAAGCACAGCTTCACCTAAGATGGCATTAGAAATAAAACATAAAATGATACTCAAAGTGTCACGTTTTTAATTCCCACATTTTAACTAAATGTCACCAGTGGTTTCAAGTGACTATTAAAAAATATATATGAAACAGATACACTTGGTGATTATCAGTAGTTACCAACCCACTCTTCACTAGAAGCCTACCAGTTTGGATTGGGCTTCAGAAATGCATTTCAGAGTTGGATTGTATTTTGAGTGTTAACTGTCAAAAGGTAGAATCATCTTGTGATGATCATGAAATAGCACAGTATGTACTTTTTAACTATGACCGATGCTGTTTAGCTGACAACTTTGGATCTGTGACGTTGGAGGATTCAGGGAAGATACTGAAGTAGAAGTGTATTCTGGTCTGTCCCTCTTTGGGAGAAATAAGCCACCCATGTGTCTTCACAGGGGAGGAGCTGTGCTTGAGCCTTAAACAAGGCTGCACCCTGGACTGTCCCTCCGGTTTCCTAACTGACGCCCACAACTGTGAGATCTGCCAGTGCCGCCCGCGGCCCAGGAAGTGCAGACCCATCATCTGTGACAAGCACTGTCCACTGGGATACATGTACGTATTTCCTGATCCTCAAAACCTACCAAGTAGAGCTTGTTGAAGTGCTCATAGCATTCTGTTAGCGTGTCGTGCATGTGTGTGACAGGATCGGCGGTGTGCTGTCTAGAATGTCCGTCTTGGTCTGATTAGGTAATTGAGAAAGCAAGGAAGGGATTGTGCCTCCGAAGCTAAGAATCAAGTGTCATTCATCCTCTTTCGTGGAAATGACCCAGATGTCCTCTGATCCTGTCCTGTGAGACATCCCCATACTGCGGTCCTTTGGACACTGCCGGGGGATTGGAAATGGACTTCTCATGAGGCCCTGCTCCTGTTAGTGCTCCATCTTTTCATGACCATCATAGGCACTATTTTGTGATAGCCTAATTAACCTGTAGTTTAAGGTCAGCTGAAGATCACTCATAAATATTAAGCATCCTACCCACTACGCTGTGATGTCTAACTTCAGACATGGTCAACATTTTGTAGCGTTTTTCAAGTCTGAGTAGATGCAATAAGACATATTTTTCTTTGGTCTGTATTAACATTTGTGTCTTCTTTTATATCAAGTTGATCCCTTAAAAAATTACCTTTCAAAATATTCTATCATGCTTTCCTTCACTGTCTTCCATCTCCGTCTTTCTTCGTTTTTAGTTTTATATATTTAATATCATACTGCAAGGGATTTAAATCCATCATCTTTTGCCCATCTTCTTTCAGTCATCTTTTTTATTCTTTTGAAAATTTTAAATTTTAATTCTCATTTTAATTGGGTAATTAAGTTGAGAATATAAAAATTCTTCAAATACGAATCATTCTTAATTCTAAAATATAAATATATAATACCAAGAAAAGTATAGTTACTCCATCACTTCTATAATGGGCAGTATCATTATCCCGATGGCAGTAGCAACAGCCGCTTACCACAATATTGTAACAGCTTAGAATCAAGACCACATTCAGACCCAGCCCACATCTTGGAGAGAAATCTCATAGAAGATATGATAGGTTTCACATCATAGGTCCTGATGTAAGCACACTCAGAACCCACTTGACTCTTGTGGACACCTGAGTGCTGAACCAACTAGAAACTATTTTAACAACACTTTCTAAAGACATTTTGACCAGATTCCTTGTAGGAGTGTTAAGCAGACTTTGGTATTGTTCCAAGTATCTCCTGCGTGAACCTTGTATGTGATTATGGTAGGAATGGATCAGTGGACAAACAAGCATAGCAAATAGCGCCTTGATAGATGTAGAAAACAATACGGTTTATGATATAAATATACATGATTCATTTACTCTTCTCATGTTGAAGTGAGAGCCGCGCGTTTAGTACTGCGTTAGCAAAATGGGTAGTTGGCCACTTAGTTGTCACACATTAAAGGTTTCTCATGGCTCTGTCATCTTTAATATCTTCATTTTCCAAGATGAAACTGAATGGGTGTTTTCTCTCAGCTGGCTACCAACCTGGCCACTTAGTGTTTCTTGGGATGAAACATAAGGTGCACATAGAGCAGCTTTCCTCCTTAAAGGGCCAGGAGTCCAGCGGGGGCCCAGTCTGTGGAGGAGATGCTGGGCCTGAGAGTCCAGCTGCAACCGTGAGGAAGGGCTGGGTGGGTAAGTGGGTGAGCTCCTTTTGGCTCATTCTCTTTCTAGGAAAAAAAAAAACATTTGGTTTTTATGGACATTTACTTATTTAATTTATTTTATATCATCTTCCTGATTAATACAGAATTTGGAAAGAAGGTTCCTGCAGTGTTTTATCTCTGGCACACTTAGTTCAGACCTCATGGCTGGAAGGTTTAAAGGCCCATATTCTTTTCTAACTAGGCCTGATGAAGTAGCTGCTGAACACTGAGTGTTGAAGGCTTTTATTGTTTATTAACATTTATGAAGCCTTCCCAAGTCAGTGAGCCCGTAAGTCATATCTTCTCTAAGTTTCAGTAGATATCCCATTAAATGTTTACTGGTGTCTGGAATTTTTCAGGGGATTGTGTCTTGTGAGAAAGCCTGGGAGTGCAAACAAAACCCGAAGGACTTTTGTCCTTAATGCTAACTCTGGCATTGTTTACCCTCCTATTCTTGGAGTTGCACATTTATCTTTTTATAAGGCGACATCCATTTTCCTAATTAAATCAATGATGATGTCTTTGAGATACTGACAGCCTCATCCCAGAAGCATTGGAGGACTTGGGCAATTCTAAAGCTTGGTTTTGGGTGGGCAGTGGTCATAGCCACAGGGAGCTAATTACACATCACCCCAGGACTTTAGAGAGCAGAAGTCAAGTCATTATGCTTAGTAGCAATATCCCTTCTTTGACCCTTGGTTTGAATGCTTGGGGATCATTTGAGAGTTTTTGATTTTCTGACCTCTGGCCAAATTTTAATTACCCAGGAAGAATAAGCACGGCTGTGACATCTGTCGCTGTAAGAAATGTCCAGAGCTCCCATGCAGTAAAATCTGCCCCTTGGGCTTCCAGCAGGATAGTCATGGCTGCCTTATCTGCAGGTGCAGAGGTAAGTATGAACACATGGCCTTGCCCCCTCCCAGAGCCAGGGGCGTGGAAACAAAGAACAGCAGGACATTTGGTAAATGAAATGGTTTAAGTGATTGCTACTCGGACACAAATGTCACTCTCTGTGGGACCCTCCCATAGGACTCCCTTCTCCTTTCATCTTAATGGCATAAAAGCTCAGAACAGAATTTAGAACACATGTGATGGATAAGCACATTCACCAAATTAATCGCTTTTTAGCTCTGCAGTTTCACTTGTCTCTGGAACTTTAGCCTAAAGCTGAAGTTTATCTCAGCTCCATAAAGTCGACTTCTGGTCAAGAGTGGTATTGATACAACTGATGTAGTAAAGAGCCTCAGTTCATTGCCCCTGAGCGTAGGTGTAAGATTTCCTGGAAGCACAGGCCATCCCAGAGCTGTGTGTAAGTACAAACCCTGGACATCCCCTCTGCCTGAGACTCTTGCTGCAGGGACATTTCTGAAGCCATTAGCTTTGTACCCAGGCTGCATTTTCTGCCCTTATCTCAGAGCCAGTCCCACCCATTCCATTCCAGTTTGATGAGACATAGATTAAGCAACTGAAGATCCCTAACGTTTGCTCAGTATTTTCTCCAAGTTGAACAGTTACCACCTTGGTGGTGTGTAAAGGGTTCGCAGTTTACCAGAATCTAGTCAGCTGCTGCAGTGGTTCTGTGGAAGGAAATCTGTAGTTGTAAGGGGCCCAGCATTTCTCCCTGGGGTAAGTTTCTGAAGTGATGGTTCTCAATTTTAATTAAACATACATGAGTCCATTATAAAACCAACGCTTATTTGTTGTGAAATACGACAGTATAAAGTGAGAGGAGTAAAAATCAGCACTAATCCCACCTGTGGAACAGAAACGATTTTGCAAGCTTTTATGTCTCTTTTTTTTATTATTTTTTTATTTATTTATATTTTTTTTCCTCAAAACTGGGAGCCTGTTGGCTTACATTCCTTTCCTGAGCATCCCCCGTGTCACTGACTGTCCTCTGTAGCTGTACCGCTTGGTGGCTGGGTTCCATTCCCTGTAAGGACACTCCAGGCCGTTTCTCTTGTGCTGTAGCTGCTTCTTTACCAGGCTGCCTTTGTCTGTCCAGAGGTCCCTGCTTCAGCCGGGCCACCTGTCCTGTCAGGCACATGCCTGTCCATGGATGGCCATCATCATAAAAATGAGGAAAGCTGGCATGATGGGTGCCGGGAATGCTACTGTCACAATGGACGGGAAATGTGTGCCCTGATCACCTGCCCAGTGCCTGCCTGTGGCAACCCCACCATTCATCCTGGACAGTGCTGCCCGTCATGCGCAGGTAAAAGCTGGCTGCCCTCTCGTGTGCTCCAAATGCAAACAACTTTGCCTTGTGGGGCCTCATAGACACCCGTGACCCCGGGGGAAACAGAGACAGCACCAGGGACACCTTTCTCTTGTGTGGCGTCCATTAACAACAGCCACAGAATCCCCCATGTGCAGTAAGTGATCAGCTTAAAAGCAGAGAAAATGCTCTAAAAACTGTTCTCCTTATTTTTGAAGGGTTTACTCAGTTATCTTAATCTCTGAACTGCTTTTTTTGCTAAGAGTTGCTGGGTGTATGTATTTAAATCCAGCTTCTACATTTTACCTATGGTACATTAAGACTGAATACCTTAGTTAACTTGAGGGAATTGATTCTAGTTTTAGTTCACAAAGACTTATCAAGTAAATTGGAAAAGAAAAGAAGCCTGTGGTGATTCCTTTTTTTTTTAAAATAACGCACGCGTGGTGCTCTTGCCAAATGAAAATATTGAGAGTGACCAAGGCCACACATCTAAAACATACAAGGTCATCATAATGGTAATCAAGCTGAAGTATTACAAGAACAGAACAGATCTGTGATTCCTGGGGATTAGAATTGTGATTGTCAGTAGCAGTAATTATCACCGTAATACCTCATCCAGGGCCTTTTACTTTAAAAGCTCAGCACAGTTTTATATCTATTATTTCTCCTCTGTGCAGGTCACTTTGAGTTAGAGGGGAAGTATACTTACAGTGTCTTTCATTGGGAAAACAAACAGAAAAACTGACTCTCTTACCTAAAGTAAAATAGCTTCACAGGCCAGGGAGCCGTGAAGCCTTCCAAATACCACATCAGATTGCTTTTAAAGTTTAAACGAAGTATCATATTTTAGAGACATGATTATCTTTCTTCTAGTCCCTCCCGGCCCTGCCTAGGGGTCAGTCAGTCTGTGCAGAAGGTGTGGCCGGGAGCCTGAGGCCTGAGGCCTTTACGTGGTTCATGGCCTGGCTGCACCTGTGTTCCTTGCTGTAGCAGGGGACAGAGGGAAAGGACAAATGAGGTCCTTCTCAGCCCTGAGAACCTGCACACCATGGCAACTGTGCATACACACTGACCGGGAGTTCCCACACGCTGTGGAAAAGCAGAGGTAGAGAGCAGTGCAAATAAATGGTTTCTTCTGTTTCCTTATGGTTCCTTTGTTTGTGCTGTAAAGTCAAAACTTTTCCTTTTCACATGTTTTGCTAGTTAAATGTGAAAAATCACTATGTCCACCACATTGGAAGGCAAGGCAGCAGTTTAATTTTAGAACTCTTTGAAGGAGTGAAAAAATCATTTTCCTTTCTAAGACTCATTCTTCAATCACAAGTGAGTGTAGAGAGTGTGGGCCTGTATCTGGCCATCTGTTAACACACGGCCTCAGTGAAAATGTCTATCAGAGTGAGAGAAGTGCAAAGACATGGCTAGACAGCTGACCCAAAACTGAAAGTCGGGGAACCAAAAATACCTCCCTCTGTTAAAGAAATAAGGAAAATTTATGTAAACAAAGTTACTGACTAATTACTGTGAGTGCATAACTATCCAGGGACACAGGTAGAAAGCATAGTTCTGTAGATGGATGTGTATTGGTGTTTTTTCCAAAATCTTTACTTTCATAGATTGTCACATATGCATTCCTATGACTAGAGACTAGAGCAGGGGTCCTCAACCTTTTTGGTTCCAGGGACTGGTTTCACGGAAGACAGTCTTTCCATGGACTTCAGAGCATCAAGCATTAGATTCTTATTAGAAGCATGAGACCGAGATCCCTCCCTTGTGCAGTCCATGGCAGGTTTCAGGCTCCTAGAAGAATCTAATGCTGCCACTGATGAGACAGAAGCAGCTGTGAGAAAGGTGAAGCCTCCTTTGCCAGCCCACCGTCCGCTCCCGTAGTGCGGGTGGTTCAGAGCAGCCCATAGCAGCACTAGTCTAGAGCAGCTGTTCTCATGAATTCAGTTTTAAAGAGTATTTCACCCCTCTTCATTCAGGGGCCGGCTGTTTTGTTGTTGCTGTTGTCGTTGTCGTTAAGATGGCTTTGCTGTTGACTTGGGGGGTGGTTCTGGGATGAGCGAGAAGCCCCTAAACTCCTCCAGTACAGTAGTCACCAGATAATGTTGTCTCGTGTTTTTTCTTTCTCACTCTTTTTCTCTTTCCTGTCCATCTCCCCAGTCCCTCTGTTTTGGCTGAGGCATGTAGGCCAGCAAAGGATTTAGGACGATAGGCCACCTCCAGGCCTGTGTGCTTTCTCCTGACCACTCTCCTTCACGTCTGCATTTAAAATGTAGCAGTTATCTGTCCCCTGGCAGCCTATTTTGAATGCAGTCATGAATCATTTTGCCAGTGTTGCCATTTGAAGCAATTTTTTCTTTGTAAAATACAGCAAATACATCTTTATCCTCTTTTCCCAGGTTGGATTTTATTCTAATTACATCCCTGTAGCGTTTGTGTACTGGGAAGTTTGGTACAGTTGCTTGTGAATGTGAGTGTTAATGTCAGTGTGGTAGTGACTTGTCCCCTGGGTCAAAGTCCAAGTCTTGCTTAGTTCTCTTGCGATTAAAGCTGTACTGAAAGTTACTGCCTTCGCTGGAAGTCAGCCCACTCTGCTTTATTTCCCGAGGATGGCTGACTCTCACGCTGACCACTCCTTTAAGTAACAGTGCTGGTGCGCTGCTGGGCAATTCCATAGAGCAGGTAATTTCCCTGGGGCTCCTCTTCATGGAGCTGCAGGCCTGAGCTGCCATGATGTCTCCAAACTATTTTTCAGCAGGGTTCAGCACTGTCAGCACCTCCTTGAGGTGCCTGTTGTATTTGGACTGCACGAACATGGTTAATGTCTTCATACCTCTCATTTTCCCACCACAACTTCAGGGCAACTCCCAGCTCCTCTCCAGATATCTCAACATTAAACTCCCCTCTATCATTACCATCGCACCAAGGCACCAAAACTGCCTCTCCTTTGGGGAAAGAAATCATAGTTATCATCAGCCTCTCAGCTTTTACCTCTCTGGATGATGATGTCAGCAAACAAGTGTTTAGTCTCAGGTGAGGGTTTCCAGACTGGATTCCACGGGAGCATTCCTGCTCAGTGTGCTGGCGCCCGGCCGAGATGAGGTGTGGCCTGTTGACAGCAGCGTGTGTCCGAGCTTACGAGGGCTGAGGCTCCCAGAGATAATGAAGTGGAGAGGGCATACATCATCTGGAAGTGTTGTTAATCTGGAGGGGTACCCATTATCTAGACTTCGGCTACACTTAATACTCTGAGCTCACAGTTTCCTCCAGTGTAAAACAGAGCAGTAGCGCCTGGTAAAGAAAAGAAATGAACACATGCAAGTGGTTAGTGTGGAAATGACTGGGCCATAGCAAGCATTAGTAAATGAGAGATCTTTATTCTAAACAACTCCCGCACGTTCCCTGGGATGCTCGAATGGAGTCCATTCCCAATTATCTAATTCTCGTATGGAATTCTCTTATGACTGTTGATAGATTTGAGCCACTTGAACCTCATTTCGTGAGATTAGCTCGTCTGCCATTGTCTTGTTTCTGTGCATGGAAAGTTTTTCTCTTCCTCAGTAGTCTTTAAAGAATAGAGTGAAATACTACTCAGACAATTCGTCCTTCTCTCCTTTAAAGCAAACAGCACCAGGTTCTTCAAGAGCCAGAAAGACTACAGATGAATAAGTTTTTGTGTTTTGATTTTGTGTCATTCCCCAGATGACTTTGTGGTGCAGAAGCCAGAGCTCAGTACTCCTTCCATTTGCCACGCGCCTGGAGGAGAGTACTTTGTGGAAGGAGAAACGTGGAACATCGACTCCTGCACCCAGTGCACGTGCCACGGCGGCCGGGTACTGTGCGAGACAGAGGTGTGCCCGCCGCTGCTCTGCCAGAACCCTGCGCGCACCCAGGACTCCTGCTGCCCGCAGTGCACAGGTAACCGCCGCTGTGCCTTAGTGCACTTGGCAGGGGGAGGAAGCAGCCTGGGCGCTGTCACTCTGCAGGACAAGGGATCAGGCTGAACCCCACAGGGGAGGACCCATTCAGGGACCCGGGCAGGGATGCCTGACAGTCGGCTTCCAAATGTATTCCCTTCCATCGACCACATAGTTATACAGTCAGGGTGCCCTTGCACCTGCAGTGACTTTGTAAAAGAAAGGAGATGGCTTCTTTGTGACACATTTTTCCTTAACCCAGATCTCAGACTCAAGGAAGCCATACCTTAAGAGAGGTAGTCCCTGCGTGCTGAATTATTCCAGAAATTATTTTGCTAAGGTGAAATGTCATCTTTGTCTCTAGTAAACATGAAGAATAGTTGTTGATAAATGATATAAATGAAAGGTTTGAAAAATATAAGGTATTTTGATACCTGATGCTACCCCCTCAAAACCTGTTACAGTTAATATGTTAAGGCTCAAAAGTATTAAATGACTAACACTATGTATAAGGACTATTTCTTTTTTTATCGTTACCTGGTGAGTTTATGATCATAAAAGAAATATAAAAATTTGGTATGATTTTTAAGTATGTTACTGGTTTAATAACTAAAATGCTACTTAACTCTAGAATACATGACTTTTACAAAAGATACTTAATTTGATACCAAAAATTATTAAGTGGGCAGAATATCTGGTTTTATTTTGATGTTTATCTTCTCATCTTTTTAATTTAAATTAGCAAGTACTTGTCCAGTGTTGCTACTCAGTGAAACATAAAGTATTTTTTCACATTGGCTGCCCAGAATCTGTCATTAGATCCAGCATGTTTAGTGTCTCAGTCCATCACAGACTCACACTGATGGCATCACCACACAGAAATAGCCGTGTCATTGGCTATTGTCATTGTGCATTGTGGCCAGGGTGTTAGCATCTTAGTACAAAATCTTCGATGTTATTCATCGGACAGACTTAGTTAGCGCGAGCTTTTCTAATGTAAGGAGTACTTCATATGTACTGACTGTTTAAGATACGTGATGTAGTCACACTGTATTTTTTTATCCTTATCACTTTTACTCATGTTTCCTATTATTAAAAAGTCAAGTGACTGTTCACATCTTCCTAGTAGAAGCCATTTGAGTGACCTATTTACTGGTGACCTTGAGCTTGTATACATCAAGTTACTCACCTGATAGACATTTGTGGAATTCATGAATTGAACCACAGGATCCTGAGATTAATTCCCATAGAAAGGACTCCTGTCCTGTAGAGCAGTAGTCCAGAGAGAGGATGGACCAGCCCAGTGCCCCACCTTAAGTAAATAATGATAAAGAAGCAGAGACGTGGCTGGGGAGAAGGAGCCTTTCAGAACACTCAGGACTGCCGGGTGCCCTGCGGGCTGGGAGGCAGTCAGGTACAGTAGCGGTGTAGTAGCTAGTAGCAGAATGGCTGTAGAAAAGGCAGTGGAAAGGGTACGTACAGGACCACCAGCCTGGATTCCTCGATGGGGCGCTGGATCAGCCATGGGTGCAGCCTGCAGGAGCGTAGGTGCCGTGTGGAGACGGCCTCCTGAGAGGGCTAGGAGTGGGTTTCTGTGACCGACTTCTCAGGCGGATGTGTGTGTGCCAAGCCCCAAGGCTCCTGCCTCCTGGGCGTGGTTCCTGCCTTCTGCAGATCCAACAGGCACAGCACTGTGTGCTGCCTTTGACCTCCCCTAGACAAGCCTGGGTGTCTGTTTCTACCTACATATAACTTGAGGATATTTCAGTGATAACTCTCAGGTTTTAACCCTTCAGGTGTTTTGTGTTATGTGTCAGTATTCCAGAGGCTGTCCCTAAAATGGTGATAAGATCGTGTCTGTAATAATTTATATTTTAAAATGAGTCACTCACTCATTGATCTTTTTGGGCTCTACACTAACACCCATATTGCAGAATTAAAAGGTAAAACATACTAAGCCTAAAATAACAATTTTTTAACATCATAGTAGACTTCAAGAGTAGCACTGTTGGACCTGACATAGTGGTGCACACGTCAGCATGATGGTAACCCCAGGACTTTGGGAGGCTGAGGCTGGAGGAGCACTGTTCAAGGTCCCTGGGCTACCGAGTAAACTGAAGGCCAGCCTGAACTACACAGCGAGGCCTTGTCTCAAAAAAAGAAAGAAAGCATTGTTAAGTGGTATATTACACAGCAATAAAAATACCATCTCGGATCTTAGGCTATGCATGTGTTGAAATGCTGTGAAAATTAGGCCGAGGATTTAGCTCAGTGGTATAAACACCTGCCTGGCAAGCCCAAGGTCCTGAGTTCGATCCCTGGTACCCAAATAAATAAATGTGCATCTGTGCACAGGAGAGACTGCCCTGGGTGGGGAGTCTGTCTGAGATGCCCTGCTATCCCCTTTCCTTCCTCAGGGCTGGTTTAGGGCAGGATCTGGAATGGCAATGGGCTCCTGAAGAAATGACTTTGGTTTCTTATTTTCAGCTTTTAAAGTTGTTTTCATTCTTTATTTTCTACAGTTGGGAAAAAAAACAAACAGCATGGAAAAGAGAGGAAAGTAGCAAAGAAAGAAAATGAATGGATGACCACCAGTTTTAAAATACTGCTAAAAACAAAGTAAATGTTTAGAAACAGAGATAGAAAGACAGGTGCTCACTTTGGCAGTGTGTGTACTGAAAAAAAAAAAAGAAGTAGAAAGAGAGATCTCGGAGGCAGGGAAATGGAGGAAAGGCATGCTCTGCACCCCAGCTTGCACATCCTAACCCTAACCCTAACTCTACCCTTTGCGGTCTTTTCTGGGCCTCAGCGAGCGGCCTCTCCTACTTGTACTGAATTCTACTCTCTCATTTCATTGCCTCGCCGTGGCTGATCCTGCTCCTCTCCTAAATTTTTAGACCCAAAGTTGGATTACTTGCAAGAGCTAGGCCAGTATAACTATGGAGTCCTGGTAATTTTTATGGCCCAGTGTGGAGGTGTGTGAGTGTCTTTATTTCTGGCCTAACCAGAGGTAACAGTGGCCCATCTCCATAGGCATAGCCGACCTTGGAAAAGTCCCTGAGAAAAAGCCCATTTCCCCCATAAGCTGCTGCCTGTGGATGGGAGCTATAAAACCTTCCTTGAAACAGGACACAGGGTGACTTGAGGAAGAGTGGAGCCAGCACGTCCTCTTTCATTGTGTGTCTGCCTTTGGGACTGGTGGTAGTAGGAGACCTGGTTCCATCTTAAAGTGGAGGTCTGGAACTGGGGTATTGTGCTGGCCTCCCTCTGGCCCTCAGAGAGCCTCAAGTGAAGCAGCCACCTTGGTCCTTCAAGAAGCACTTCTCTTTAAACCATCTTCTCCGCGGGGTGTATCTGTGAGCAGATGGAAGGAGAAGATGACATTTAGAGTTTCTGCATCGTGTGATAACTACATGTCTGCTTCAGTTATTTCTGCTTCATGGCCGAAAATAGCAGAATTCATGCAGTTAATTCAAAAAAGAACATATAACTCAACAGTAGCCATGAAAGAATGTCATTCTTGGAGACGTTTGTCGGGTACAACTGTCATGGCTGTTTCTAGACTCTTGAATGGTAAAGGTGGTCAGAAGTGTTTTCCTTCATCAATGAAACTGATCTTTCTACAGTGAAAGATCCTTTGCTAACTTAACATTGTCCTTTCTCACATCTCAGATTTCTGCTTGGGGGTTGCATTATTGATTTCAATGGATACCAGCACCCCAAGAGAGATGCACACTGTCTGGTGATATTTTTGTTCTATGTTGTGCCAAAGCTTGATCTCGCGACCAAGTCTTTAAATAGGAAAGACAGATAACTTGCAAGTGCATTCTCTGGGGTTTCACCCTTATGCATGGTTCTGGTTTCTTTTAGCCATTTAATGTGACTGCCTGAGCCCTGAGATGTTACACATAGGTGTGTTTTGGTAGTTTGCTATGGCGGTGGTCTGTTTTACCTGCTTTCCAAGAATTTTGGAGGCGGACATGTATCCTGCTTCAGTGGCTCAGTGACATTAAGGCATGATAAAGGTTTTGGAGCTACAGTCAGTCAGCACACACCTTTACAAGCCAAGAAGACAGTGGAAGGATAGGGGTAGCAACACATGCACCATTGGAAGAAAGTGAGCGCTTTCTTAGAAATCCCCTCAGTAGCCATGAGCTACAACTGGGTGGCTTGCAGCATAGTTGCAAGGGAAACAAGATTGTCCTGATCAGCTTTACCCCGGTGTGATCCAAGTTCGGAACCACTCCACAGAAAACTATGGCTGATGAAGCATCACAGACCAGTGTGTGATAAGCAACAATCTCTGTCCCACACTCTTTCCAGTCTTTGTCATTTTGTTTTTGTGACTCCGCCTTCCTGGTTTGTGACTGAGCCTTCTGTGTATGGAAGCACCCAGGGCCACAGGGACAGGCTGGGCTTCTGCTGCGTCTGTGGATTCTCATTGTGGTGCACAGTTGGTGGTCTGCAGTGCCTCATTTGCTCACCTGTGTGTTCATTTTTCCAGATGAACCTCTTCAGCCTTCCTCATCCCACAATGGCAGCGTGCCTAGCTACTGCAGAAATGATGAAGGGGATATATTCCTGGCAGCTGAGTCCTGGAAGCCTGACGTCTGTACCAGCTGCGTGTGCATGGATAGCGTGATTAGCTGTTACTCTGAGTCTTGTCCTTCTGTATCCTGTGAAAGACCTGTCTTGAGAAAAGGCCAGTGTTGTCCCTACTGCCTAGGTAAGCTCAAGAAAAAAAATATTTCCTCTCCCAGTGCCACTAAATCAACGTTGACAGTTACCTGGCCTAGGTCAGTTAAGATTTTTGAAATTGGTTTTTCGGATTAACCTGCCACACAGCCCTGGTGTACGAATTGCAGGCCGGGGAAGGACGTGGTAGATGTGCCCTCAAGATGCGCGTGCTAAGGGTAAAGAAGTGCTGTCTGAGGCCGAAGTGCCATTACAGCACCGTCATGTTCTCCGGGGGCCTTTACTGGTTTGGCATTTTCACTGTTAGAGCTCTTTTCGCTACCCAGTTCCTTGTACTGATCTTTTTCTTCAGTATTTAATGTATAAAACCTGCCTTTGCCTTGAGATTAGCTAAATATGAAATACTAATCCCCCTGTTTTTCATGTCTTATAAACTTTAATTTTATGCCCCTGTGGATGCCATAGCGCTGTCAGTGTTGATGGTCAAGGCCCATAGAGTGAGGCCTGGGTAACTGAAGACCCCTCTCTTTGTGACTGTGGCGATACATCTTGTGAGCAGAGGACATGTGTCTATTAGCCCCGAACATCTGCACCGAACTAATGCTGTGGACATAAGGCAGAAGCTGTTCCAGGGACAGAGGCGGGGCCGAGACAGCTGGCATCTGCATTCAAGGACAGTCCTGCTCCCAAGGCACACACTCTCTTTTATTGCTTTTGCATCCAGTAATGTTCATAAAGTCAGATGAAAGACAGGCACGTCGCAGTCCATTCATTAGCGAACCCATAATCAGGAGAGCAGTGAAAAATTACCCCAGTTGTATTAGTTACAGTTACAGGTGTTGTACATAGATTGTTGAGATGTTGCATCCTTCCTAGACATAAAGATTGCAAATGGTTGGGATGATACTGGCCACAGAGCTTGGGGGCAATAAAAACCTAAGCTGTGTTCCCAGGAATTTTGTGGGGCGAGGCTTTCACAATGAAATAATCGGTATATTAAAGATGTGGATGTTGGATTCTCTCCTGTAGAGGAACCATTTATATCACAGGGTCTTCAAATCATAGTACTTTTGAGAGTGAAATAGAGAGTGTTAATAATTAGAGGACAACAACCACAGACCAGGAGAGTCTGTCGCATAGCAAGACATATAGTAGTTCTTAGTGACAGAGACTACCCATAAGCCTTGTAGTTCCTCAGTGGAATCAGAAATATATCCAGGCATATATCCAGTTTAGCACCACTTTTTCAAAGAGCTGACCAAAATTTGTATACGAAATGGCACTGCCTTTGGTGAGATTATAACTAGGGTATGGAGGTAGGGGGTGTGGCCAGTATCACCCCATCTATATACAAGAATTTTGATACTAAAATAAAGGTTTCTCAAATCAGCCAGGAGCGCGTGGGTCCTTGGGAAACCAAGGCCCAGGGGGCCTAAGAATTCCGTGTCACTTTTCAGGAAAAATGTGTGAGCAATGGGTCTCCTCTATGTTGAGAATTCTTAGATTGTTTGTTTTAAGGAATGTTCCTATTCTGTTTTACTGCCTAATTGGTTAAACTGTAAATAGTTTCTCAACTAGTAGATTTGTTCCCACATCATAAAAGTAAATTACTTCTGTTTCTCAGGAAACTATCATAAAAACAAAATTGTGGAAGGAAACTATAAAATCATTGTTTTCTGTATCCCCCTTTTTGTCATTTTCTTTCCTCTTTTCCTTCACTCTCCCAATTCCTGAGTTATTTAGACTGTAGTTTCTTTTTAGTGTGGCAGTAAAGACCGATGTGGCCCAAATTTGTGATTTTCATTCTAAGTTTCAAGGACTTTCACTAAATTGTGGTTCCTATAAGGACATAATGACATAGTGGAAATTTTGTCCTGGTGTCCTCTCTCTCAACACCTGCTTCCCCGCACTGATGCATGTGTAACTGACTCTGTAAACCTGTGACTTACCTACAGAGGCCACGTGGGGAGGCCTGACATTGGATAAACAGTAACTGTGCTGTGTCC